CCGCCGCGCCGCGCGCCGCCGCAGACGGCAGCTCCACGCCCGCGGCGCCGCCGTCGCCGCCGCCGCTGCTCTCCCCTTCCAACGCCGCCGCAGCGCCCGCCGCCGCCGCCGCCGCCGTCGCCGCGGCCTCGTCCGCGGCGGCCCAAAGGCGTGCCTCGGCATCGCCGGCCAGCGCCGCCACCCAGCCGTCCCCTGGCACATGCCCGAGCCGCGCCATCGCCCACAGCACGTTTGCATGGTGCTGCGCGTGCGAGTCCGCCAGCAGCGCCGCGGACGCGCCCTCATACAGCCCCATCCACGCCGCCCCCGGCCGCACCCCCAGCCGCGCAGCGCTCAGCAGCACATTACTAAGCTCCTGGGGGTTCATCTCGCCCATTCGCGCCGCGGCTGCAGAAAACAGCGCCTCCACCGCGGCGCCGCCGCCCGCCGCGCCGCCTTTGCTGCCGCCGCCGGCGGGCAGCAGGCAGCCGAGGCCCCAGAGGGTGGTGCTGAGCTGGCGGGCCGTGTAGGCCGCCGCGCGGCCCTGCGCCACGGCCAGCCCCGAGGCCACCCAGGCGTCGGTGAGAGTGCGCACGTCGGGCGCGCTGCCGTGGGCCTCGCGCTCCCGCCGCTGGCCCCGCTGCTGCTGCTGCTCCTGCTGCTCCCGCTGCTGCTCCTGCGCGTACTCCTGCTGCTGCGGCTCCTGCTGCGGCTGATCTCGCGTTGGTGCACTTGGCCGCCCCTCCTCCCCACCGCGCGACAGAGCCTCAGCCTCCTTCCCTGATTCACCATCAGTGCCGTCGCCGCAGACACCAGCGCCGCTTCCCAGTGCCGCCGCCGCCGCCGCCCCCGCTGCAGCTTCCCCCAGCTGCCAGTCCACCTCAGCGGCCTCCCGCCGCAGCCGCCGCCGCCGCGCCATCCGCCCCAGCGCCCAGCAGCTGATGGAGAACGCCTGCTCGGGGAAGCCCACCAGCCGCGGCCGCGTGGCCGCCAGCCAGGCCGCCATCCACTGCTCCCCCGGGTCCCACCCCAGCGTCGCCGCCGCCCACACCATGTTGCTGCACCCCTGCGCCGTGCTGCGCAGCAGCCGGCGGGTAGCAGCCGCCGCCCACGCGCGCAGCCACGGCTCGGGCGGCGGCGCGCCGAGCCGCGCGGCGGCCCAGAGCGCGTTGCTCAGGTGCTGCGGCTGCGCCTCCGGCAGCGCGGGGAGGCTGGCCGCCCAGAACCCTGCAATCCAGAGCGCCGGCGGGCGGTGGCGCAGGCAGGCCAGACCATAGAGCAGGTTGGAGTGCACCTGGGAGCCCGCCGCGGGCAGGCAGTGCGCCGCCGCGTCGAGGAGCTCCTGCAGGCGCGCCGGCGACAAGCCGGGCACCAGCTCCGCCGCCGCCGCGCGTGGCCCTGACTCCACCGCTGCCCCTGTCAGCAACTCATCACCGGCAATGCTACTGCCGCCATTCTCAGTACCGCTGCTGCTGCTTGATGGGCCGGCTGCCTGCCGCTGCGGCTCCTGGCTGTGCGCCTGTGTGCTCGTCGTCGCCGCCTCGCGCGCAACTGCCGCCGCCGCCGCCCGCTCCTCCGGGAGCTGCGCCCACCGCGCCAGCGCCCACACAAACGACGACAGGTGCTGCCCCTCGAGCCGCGGCGCGTGCTGCAGCAGCGCGCCGGCCGCGCGGCGCATCAGCGGCGCCGGCAGGGGGCAGCCGGCCTTGGCGAGTGCCCACAGGCCGTTGGCGGTGCCCCGGGGTCCGAGGACTTCGAGCTTGCCGTCAAACAGCGGCAGCAGGCCGCGTGTGACCCACTGCCGCAGCTCGTCGCCTTCCTCCGCTGCCACTTCTGCCGCGGATTTCGACCAAGCAGGGGAGTCGGGAGGCACGAATTTGGCCGCTTTCGCGAGCAGCGCTGCGACGTGTATGGGGTTGAGGTCGGCCGCGTGGCGGTCGGCAGTGTCCCGCAGGTCCCTCCAGCTGCGGCAGCCGCTAATCTCGCGCGTGATGGCGCGCGCGCCCGCATCGGCGGGGATCGAGAGCTCCCACTCGGCCGCCAGGCGCCGGGCGGGCGGCCGCTGCTGCTGCCGCCTGTGTTGTGGCTTCGTCTGCTCGCGCTGCAGCTGTGTCTGCTGCTGCGCCTGCTGCACCGTTGCCTTGCAGACGCCCAGCACGCGGCGCCGCAGCCGCGGTGAAGTGGGTGGAGGCACCCCCACAGCATGCAGCAGCAGCACGGTTGACAGCAACGGCGTGTTGTGCGGCTGCACCTGCATGCAGGCCGCATGGGCGCGGCTGGGGGTGCCAGGACCATACGCCTTCATTCCGCAGTCACCGTGGCGCACGCATACCCTCAAAACAAGCGGTCGGTGCTGCAAGTGTGTCGTGAGTGGAACATCGATGGGAGGCTCCCCCGGGATATGATTGATGCTTGTCAGATCTTTAATGTGTGTAGCTTACGTAGCATTTGCCGCATGAAAGGAGCCGGTGATCGTGGGTGACTGCCGACCAGCTGGGTGGTGGTGAGTTTTCAGTGTTGCCGTCATCCTGCCGTGATCGCTAGCTGTTATATTCAAAGAGGCTGTTGTCCTGCCATTCATGGCATCTGCCTGGGGTTGAGCTTGAAACGGCCGTCGTCAGTCGTGGGGCTGCGCTCCGCCACCGTCGTAGGAAGCGCCTGCCTCCTGCCCTGGGATGTTCATGTTGTGTGGGCACCATGGGGCGCCGACTCAAATGTTGCCAGATGTTGCCAGTGCCGCACAAGGGGATTGCTGCATGGGTTTGAGTGTTTGACCGTTAAAAAGCGGCGTTAAAAGGGCGGCACATTCAAAATATCTTGGTCGACAAGAAGGCGAACATCGTCACAAGTGGTCCAAGAAAGGAAAAGGTTGATAGTATCACATGGCACTTGGGTTCGAGGGATGCGCTTCCCAGAAAGGCACCAGCAGGGATGACAAACGTGCAACAACAAAGCCAAGGCATCAACAGGGCAACCTCGCATTCCGCGCTCAACAGCCCAAGTGCTCATCCCAGGCATCCAACCGCAGCCGACAGGCGCAAAGCACGGCGAGGCTCCAACCCACGCGCCCACCGTCGCGCCGCGATGCCGCCGCAGCGCGGCCGGCGCAGCTACCCGCACACCTGCTTCGACACGTTCGTCCAGAGCTCGTGGGCCTGGTAGAACCGCTCGTGCGCGCCCGGCCTGGACTGCCGCGACGTCACAGTCCACGGCTTGGTGGGGGAGAAGTGCACCACGCCGGCCATCTCGTACAGCTCGTCGCGGCTGACCCTGCTCTTGAACGGGTACTGCAGCGGGTCGACGGCCGCCATCGCGTAGTGCAGGGAGAGGATCATGATGGTCTCCCCCCGCAGCAGCACGGCCTCGTCCTTGAACTCTATGTTGAGGAGGTCCATGTCGTACATGCCCACGTCCAGCTTGGGCTTGCCCCCCGGGAAGTACCTGTCCCAGATCCGCGTCCACAGCCGCGTGCTGAGGGGCATGCGGCCGGGCGCGGCGGGGAAGGGGTTTGCAGGAGCGGCCGGGGCCTGTAAGTTTAGAGTACAGGTGCATTTTATGCCCGGCCGACTCTGCGGCTCTTTTGCGCCTTGAGGGCCCTCAATTGCACCGCCCTCCGTACATCAAACCATGTTATTGCCAGTTTTGCAAAATTTGCCAAGGCTGGAGGCGTTGAGGCGCAAGGCGCATTCTGGTGTGCCAAACAGCACCCGCACAGCTGAGGTGCACCGCACGATGGAAAGCCCCTGGAAACAAATAGAATCTAAGCTGCTGGCAGCTGCGCTCCGCACGCCCCGAGTCACCCGTGTTCATCGCACACACGACACACGCGCAAACGCACGCACATACGCACACACAAGAACGCACCCAAAGCGAGACTGCACTCAGCCCCCCGTACCTGGGGTTGACCACCATGACTGCCGACGTGAACTTCATCTGCAGCCCAACCTGCGGCCCGTCGTTGGCCTTCCAGGTGGTGCTGCCGCAGCCGGGCTTGAGCACCCCGGGGTCCAGCCAGTAGGCGCGCGGCGCGGACAGGTCCGCCTCGGGCACCCCAAACAGCCAGTCCATGTTCTTCAGGATGATGCAGTCCGAGTCCATAAAGACCACCTGGGG